GCCTAAGGTCACCCAGATTGTGAGTAGGACTGCTAAGATTCAAACCCAGGTTGCTCTAATCTCAAACCACCATCCCTTCCGCTACACCACAGTTAATAAATAGCAAGACTCTCTCAGGAAGAAAAAAAAAACCCTCTTAACATACTCCTAATTTAAGTGTTTGCTAAACCATGAGTGAAAAGATATTTTTAATGCCAAAAGGCTATATGAAGTCTAAAGAATGAAATGAATTGGTTTTTAGGCTCAACATAAAGCTGTATGCTTCCCCCCAAACGTTATAATTTCAGGAGGTCAGTTGTAATCAGCGGTATGAAAATAATGTATTTTTAATTTAACCTGAGCCTTAGAGTGGAAGAATGATTTCTAAGTGAAGAATCCCATAGAGGTGGTAGTGGTGGTGAGAAATGAGTTGAGTCTAATGAATTACACTACGAAAGAACAAGATAGAGAACAGAAACTTGGGCTCAAGGATTCCAATAAACCACATATGGATTGCTAGTGACCAAAGGAAGAAGTATCTGGTTGTCCCCCCTCCCCCCTACTTAGAACTTACCTTTTCTGCAGATTAATTTTCTCCAGGCAAATCTATATTCTACATGGAGTCAAGGAACCATAGCGTTTAATATATAACCTCTTATTTCATATTCCTTTTGAGGGATTTCACACATACATACAAGCATACACACACTCTTACAATGGCAAAGTTTCCAAGACCATAATCCTACACTCCTCAGAATCAATGCAAGACTTTATAAACTAATGAATCATAAAATGTCAGAGCTGAAATGGACCTCAAAGAATTTCTAGTCCAAGCCCCTCAATGTACAGATGGGAAAACTGAGATCCAGAGAAGGGTAGTGATTTAACCTAACATTGTGCAGTGAGACAGTGGCTTATACTACGATGCAAAGAAAAATACAAATCCATCATAAATTCATATATTTACAGCTGGAAGGGATCTTAGAGACCATCTACTCCAACCCCCTCATTTTAAAGATGAAGAAACTAATGTCCTAAAGGGGTCCTTGCTTTCCAAGGTCCTAAATAAGTTAGTGGCAGAGCTAGGATTTCAACCTTAGTTTCCTAGTCTGCACCACACTTGGCTGCCTCTACATTTTAACAGAGCCACAGACTCTTACATGGTTCCATTTTAAGGAATGAAGATTTTAGAAACTTTTGTAACTTCAAATGCTAACTGAGCTATCAAAATAATAAATTAGTCATCTATACGCAATGAAGAAGTGAACAGTACATGAACTTTGGGACCATGCTTAGCTTAAGGCTTGTAGGAAACATTCATGTCTCAACTAAGATACTCACGTAGCAGTCATATCTTGTAGTCATCGATCTGTTGGCAATTAAAGCTCTGCTTTTCATTTCTAGACTAAACTCTGAGTCACTTAGTCACGTGGAGTTGTTTCGCTATCCACAGAACCTACCTAACCTTTGATAACTTCACAGCAAGATACCTGGTAGTGATGAAGTATAATAAACACAGAATATACAGCCTGGAGCACATTCATTTCCCTTAGCAGAAAGGCCGAGGCAATCCTAACAAAGGCCCTTCCAAAGCAATCTAGCTATTTCGAACCCACATTTTTCTGATAAGGTTTACAAAGTCACATCTAGTGATGCCAACCAAATAGGACATCACTAAAGATAAAAGCCAAGGTCAGAGTGCAAAAAGAAAACAAGAAAATATTTTTGTTGGGGGGTGGGATATGGGGAAACAATCCTAGGGCTTGCAAATTATTTTGCATCCTACTTCTTATGCCTGTACAAAGAAGTGCTGTTTACATGAGAAATCCTGAATAACCCCTACGAGACTTATTGTGGGAACAAAAGCTGGAATTAGGGTTTTAATGGGCCTCAGGCTTGCTTCTAGGTACTTGAGGGCAGGGGATGGAAGTCATTTCACTTCTCTCTGTCAGTTTCTACTTTTTCACAATGAGGCTAAACTATGGAGGTGCCTCTCTTGGGTATTGTGTGGACTGACTAATCAAGGATAATTAAGCCCTTGGAAAATAACAAAAAACACTATCTGAGTGCTAAGCATTTATGAGCCACTAACAGCTATAAAAGCTCTTCAGAGACAGGATTCAGTATAGGCATAGTCTCTATGGGTGATTACTAATCACATTCCTTAAAAACAAAAGCCAAACTCCTCTGTGGGAGGTAGGGCAGTGGAAAAAAGGCAACACATGGTCATTCAACAACACCCTCTTTATTCAAAAATATATATCTATGAGAGACATTTCAGAATATACTGCTGCCACAAAAGACAGCCTATATTTCTAAATAAAGTCCTAAATTAATATACAAATTTAAGCTTTAAAAATATTCTTTAAAAAAAAAAAGACAACCTTGGAAAAATCTGACCTCAAGAAGATTCCTTCAAGGTCCATAGAATCCCTTTGGGGGAAAAAAATCCATCAAAAAAAACCAACAACAAACAAAACCAAACAAATTTAAAAAAACCCACCACACACACATACACACACAGAAGACTTCATTTAAATTAATGAAACAAATGAATAACATGAGGGGGGTAGGGTGGGAGGAGGGTAAGCAGGGAAAGGGAAAGAAAATGAGAAAAAATGGAAAGTATTTCAATTAAAAAATAAACTTCCAACTTTCTCACAGAAAGTCTGCCCAAAGTAACAGTCTGGCTATCTCAACACTCATTTGTTTACATAACTGATAAAGGTCTTGGGTGTTTATCTTTTCCTGTAATAATCATATAGTCAGTTGCTTGGTAAAATAAAATCTGGCCATGGGCAAAAAAATCCATTGTGCTCTAAATTTTTAGCTGATCTAGCTGATCAGGGCAGAAACTAGGCCTCTTTGGGATTGCTTTGTGGCTGGTGGAGATTCTTTTTGGCAAAAGCACAGAACATATTCAAGATGTGTTTGCTTAAAAGCAAATGTCCATGTGGGGCAATCTGATATTGTTTTGCTATGACACTGCATGAAGAGGACAATATACAGTGTCAATAGCAGAGGAATCTACCTTGTAGCATTTCCGTTAAGATCAACTGCCCCCATAGCTACAGGGAGAGAAATTTAGAGTTGCAAGTTTAACAAATGTGGAAAGGAAAAGACTAAATGACAGTCTGATAGGAAGCACCAATAAGCAAGCACATGTTGCTATTCAAAATTTTAAAGTTAAAAGAATACAGATTGACAAGTTATACAGTTCAATCAAATGCCTTATATGCTTTTACTGCTCTAAAAGTCATGGGAAACTGGAAGTTTCATCCAATGAAAATGTCCCATGAGTTAGACACACAGGACATAGAAAAAGCTTTCCATTATTAAATCAACAGGATGTCTAAGTTGTGTTTCTCAAATAGCATCTTAAAGCTACAATGAGGCAGAGGTTTCCTATGCTTATCCCTCTTTTGTAATAACACTTAAGTGTCAGTATTACAATTCCTATTACATTATTAGGACAAATTGTTTTCTGCCACTTCTGATAGCCTGTTTTGGTTTTTAAAAAGTCTGCAGATTGGAATGGTTTACAATTTGCCAGCAGGATTACTTGTTACTAAAAGCAATATAAAAATTGCATCTAAACACATCAAACAGTTATAGCTATTGGCTGGCATGATAATGGAATTAAAACTTGAGTTTAACAAAACCTCACATTTTCCCCTCAAGATCAGCTATTCAGTCACATCTGATGCAAAGTTTAGCATATCTTTCTTGTGTATATATTCAGATACACACAGATACACACACATATAGGCATGGATCAATAGATTCACAAAATGCAAAGAGAGGGGTGTGTGTGGTGTGTGTGTGTGTGTGTGTGTGTGTGTGTGTGTGTGTGTGTGTGTGTGTGTGTGTGTATGTACACAGTACATGAAAAAGACTTCAAATTTAGACACTGAAATGTGTGCCCTTTGATTAAGCTAATTACCTATACAGTGGACAACCCTTTTTCTCAGACAGAACATCTCCACTTCAAAAAAAAAAAGGTAATGTACTAAAGCTATACACATCCCAGGGCCCACATTCTCAGCATACTTTGTCTTGTGAAGTCAGCTAGTCTTTATCTTTGGAACATCACTGGTGCATTTCCCCATACTGACAGGTTAAAAAAAATGAGTGTGAAATAGATTTCCAGGAACCTGTTACATCAATGTGATACAAAGGCAAAGTGCAGATAAATGCAATCAATAAAAATGGAATATGTAGGGGGTGGGGTTGAAACTGACAACTTTAACTCATGCTTATGTAACTTGTGATTCTTATTAGTCTGCTGCAATAGCATTCTTCTGAATTGGGTATGGATTTCATTGCTATTTTCAGTCTCTAATTCATTTGCAATAAGATGTGCCTAACATTTGCATACACATACTCATAGGTGTAAGAAAAGAAACTATAGATCTGATAAACTGCTCAGACCCCAGGCTGCTCTGCAGATCCCTAGTTTTTCCTTCAGGATGAGATGATGCCCTGATAAAGCTACTCTTTAAGTTCGTGAAACCCTCAGCTAACTTGGATAAAACCAATTCAGAAACAAAAGGCTGCTTTCCTAAGAAAATGATGTAGTGATGAATTTAAAAATTTTTTTTAAAAAGCCTTCCAGATGTGTACATGATTTTCATGACTTCTTGGGGCAAACAAGAGCTAAGAACTGAAAAACAATTTGAGCATGAAAATGTGAGAAAAAAAGTTTTTCTTTCAAAATGTGTCTATATAGTTTATAATCAAATTTGGCCTCCATGCCCACTCCTGCTTAATGTACACTCTCACTCTTCCCCTCAACATGAGAAACTGTACAAGCAGTAAGAGTGCACAGAGCTCTTGGGAGTCTATAGTTCCTTCCTAAATAGAGGGAGTGGTCTAGGAGGAAAGTAACCAATCACTGGAAGACAATTTCCAGTCCCTGCTAGAGTCCTCTTCTGCTGGCACAAATGGGAATCTGAGAGCAGGCCATGTGTCCTAGTCAGTTGAAAACAGGTCACCAGCAGAGGGCAGGGGGGCCAAGCCACCTGTAACATTAGGAAGCAGCGACAGGTCTGGAAGGCTCTGTATGTGTGACTTCAGCTCCTTGCGCACTTGGGTTACCCGAGCAAGCTTCTGCTTATACTCCTAAAGAAACAAAAAGAATGAATCCTGTTAATACAGATACTAGAACTGATTGCTTGACAATTCACTCAACCGTTTACTCCCATATACATGCATACTTGTTCTGTCACCCTCAAGCCCCACCACCTCTCAATCGTCCATCTACTCTCAAGAGTCAAGTACAGAGAAATCTTAATGTTCAAACACAGATAAAACCAAACTGCAGAACCATGATCTATTTCACCACCTTAGTCCCTACCCTCAGAATATCATGTCTGCATTATTACCAAATCTTCCCCTGGTGGGCTTTCTGTTCTAGCTTTTCCCTCTCTTTAATCTATCCTGAATAGGATTAGAAAACTAGTCCAGTATTTCTTTCATTCTGTCATTCTTAGGCTCAACACCCTATAACAGCTTGCCAAATAGAAGCTCATACTCCTCTGCCTAGATTCCAAGGGCCTACCCAGTATAGCTTTAACTTAAATTAAATTATTTACTCCTCTTTAGCATCCACTCTCTGCTCCCATCAGGCTGTTCTCCCATCTTCCATCTCTCCCTGCCAGGTCATACTATTTCCCTCTTTGTGTCTTTGCTGAGGCTAATTAAGACTTACCTGTTCCAGAAAGATTCTCCAATTACTTGAATTCCTAAGGATCTTTTCCTTTCTTGAATTCTACTATACTTATACATTGAACCACTCAGTACTTGATTATACGCTATTATTTGCTGCTAATTGTTTATATGTGTTAGTCTTCTCTGTCCAACCAAATAAGTTTGTTGAGGGACAGGACCTTTCACTCATACCCCCGAGAGCACCATGCATAGCACTGGGCATATCAGCAGCCCAAATTTATTGATTGAGTGAGCAAAGACCAGAGCAATGGGACTTGCTGTGACTACTAGACCCCCAGCAGGGGACTCATAATATATGCCTACTCATTCTTCTCCCCAAGGTAACTATAAATAGGAAAGGGAAGGAATGGGAAAAGAAAAGAGATGAAAAAGGAAAGGATCTGGGGAGTGGGATAGAGGTGAAGTCAATATGATACAATAGGAGTACCACAAGACTAGGGAGTCAGGGAACCTGAGTTCTCAATTTCAAATATTTAGAAAACTCTTATGTAGAACAAGAGATTAGAAATAGACTTGTTTTGCCTTGATCCAAAAAGTACATCTAAGTGGGAAACAACAGGGGATGAGGGAGTGGATGATGCACAGACTTAGGCTCAACAGAAAAGAGCTTCCTAAGAACAGGAGCTATTCATAAGTAAAAAGAACATCTTCAAGAGGTAAGGGAGGTGCCACCACCTAAAGTCTTAGAATGGAGAATGAACAATCACTTGTTTATCTTCCATCTACCACATAAACCAGTAAATTAAATCTCCTGCTCCCAGACCCCCTAGCCATAGCTGGTCTTTTGGCAAAATCTTAACCCTCCTTTTAATAATTTATTTTAACCACCAAAAACACTGGTCAAAGCTACTTCTCTGCATTTACCTCAACTCAAATGCCTTTTGCTCTCTGCAATGCAGCACAGTGGAAAGAATGAGATTTGGAGTCAGAAAGTCTGGATTCAAATCCCAGTCACACCACTTAGTACTTGTATAACCTTATATAAATCACTCAACCTCTCTAGGCTTCAATTTCCTCATCTGTAAAATGCAAGAGCTGGATTAGTTGATCTTTAAGGTCCTTCCAGATGTAAATATATGACCCTACGAAGGAGCAAAATAACAGGACCAAAGGAAGAAAAGTTAACGTATTGTACAGAATATTGGGGCTGGAAGAAACCTTATAGATCATTTGTCACAGAATCACAAAAATCTGACTTGGAAGAAACCTAAAAATCTTTTAGTCTAACTCACACCTGAACTCAAATGTCCTTTTACAACATTCCCTGAGAAGTAGCCATCTGGTCTCTCTGCTTGAAGACAGAGTACAGAAATAGGGACCCTACCACCTCAAGTGAGGCAGTCCATTATACTTTTGGACAGATCAGTCTGACCCACTTATATTTTAAATACAGGGAAAATGAGACCAGGGCAACCTAAATGACTTACCCAATGTCACAGAACTAGCTCTAACTAGGTAAATAGCAATCCTCCCAAATAAGACCATTTCTAAGACTTGATGAATTCTTCACCTTCCCTTCCAACATGGTTAAATGTTTATTAGTTTCAAAGGTAATATGAGCTTACTAGATGGGCTCAAACAGGAAAGGAAAACAACAGTCATTGTGAACTACACTATTAAAAATCTGCATGAGTTTAGAAAAACTATCTATGGGTGTCATAGTTTAAAAAAACAACAACCAAAAAACCCCCCCCAAAAAACCTTTAAGAATAATTAAGTTTACATTTTAATGGTCAGATGTAAATATAGATTTCTTTTTTTAAAAAGTATGCATATATCTGTGATAGAACTTAAATGAGTAGAGAAATATGAACAAATGCATTTGGGAGAATAGATGTTGTCAAACTGATATTATGATGACATACATAATCCCCTCCAAATAAATTCAGGAGTAGTTTGCTACAGGACTTCTATAAGGCAACTGACCTCACATACAAGAATGTACATATTTAGCAGATCTATGTTTCTTCTTATATATTCATCTATATAAAGCTATTAACAAATCACAAAACATTAAGGGCAAAATAATGACAGAACTAATCATGTATACAGCACTTCTGAATTTACAAAATACTGACTGTGCCATTCATTATTCTCAACAGCCCTTAAGGAAAATGGCAATTATTATGATGTCTCTTTTAAAGGGGAGGAAACAAAGCTCAGCAAGTTTATATGAACTTGACCAATGTCAAATGGTATTAATGGGTAGAAGAAAAGCTAGAAGCTAGGTATATGACTTGTAATTCAATTCTCCTTCCACTACACCACACTGCCTAATGAACATAACCAAAAATGCAACCCAAATATAATTCTAGTTCTAGGCTCTCCCTCTGTAGTCCCTGTTCTGATCCTCAGTCAAGCCATGGGAAGGTCTTCCCTGGCTGCCCTACATAGTTTTAAAAAAGGCAAAAGACGACTGAAGAGAAATGGAGACCAATTAAAGCACAAAACAGCAGAGGGGAACCATAAACCTTTTTCTTCAGGCCCCTACTTTGCACACTCTGTCATCAGACCTACACCAAGTTTCCCCAGTGACCAGAGGGAGCAATGAAATAGATAAGAGTTGTACCAGTAGTTACTGCTGCTACCTTTCAGTGTAGCTCCAGAGGGGCCATGATAAACTGCCTTGGTAATTCTAGGGGCAAGATATTTTTCAAATGCAGGAGAGTATAAACCATCATCTAATGTTCTGATGATGTTTAGGATTTATATTCTTAGCATTGCTTTGAAACTTCATCTCCAAAACTTCCTTAAACTAAAAGGAAAGATGTGACCCTCCACCTACCACCCTTCTGCTCTCTGCTGGTTTGGCATCCTCTGCATGTGAATACTGACTATTCAACCTACATAGCACATACTTATTGAAGAGAATAGTGCTTATGCACACTCTGCCTTTTTAGGTTAAAACAATAAGCTAGACCTGACATGTTATAGATGGGCTTCTGTATAAGAAATCTAGAAAAGAACAAGGTCTGGCATTACAATGATCCTTTCTAAATGATTTTTATTTTCAAATGAAAAAAAATTTAAACCACTTTTTCAAGAGACTTGTGGAAAGAAAGAATAACCAAGATTCACACACTGCAAAACTCATTTTATTTCTCTCAGGAAAACATTTGCACAAATAAAATACTAGGGAAAAAAACCATTTAAAGGCAGGGGTTAAGTTAAAAGACACTATCCAGAGTTAAGCCTCATCTCTTCTTTCATCTCATCCAGTTGTGCTGTAGCACATATGGCATATTAAAGTCTCCCACTGCTCCAATACCCCTAATTAAGAGTCAGAAAAAAGTACTATGCACAAAACAGATCATAGGAAGGCTGTGCTTTAAAGGTAGCCTGCAAAAGTTTGTTTGTAAAACAAATCAGTCTGTTGCTAAATATCTCCAATGAAAAAGTGCTTCCTTTGGGTCATTTAGTCCAACTTCTTCCTGAACAGGAATCCCCTCTATATCACACCATCATCCCCAAAGTATGTTCCTCAAACACCCATTCTATGACTGTGCCACCAGACCAGTTAATTTATGACAATCCAGGACACCCTAAGCCCAGAAATCACAGCCTAATTTTCAACCCTCTATGGTCTAAAAAGAAAAAAAAATTATAACCTGTTTGGATATAAAATAAGAATGCCACTTTTCAAAATCTCATGCCAAAATGAAAAACCATCACTGACCTGCGTCTTTCTCTACCAGCCAGCTCCTTTCTCCCACATGACTTAGTGGCAGCTGCGACATTTCAAAATGATACATTCTGGGGTGTCACAGCAGAGCTGGAGCTGCTGAGCAAGACGCTGGGGAAGATACAAGGAAAAGAAAGTGTTCTCTCTAGTTCCTATGTTTGTTGTTTCTCTGCTCCATTACTAAGAACCATAATAAATTAAATTACATAGGGTATTCCACAAGAATCAAAATAACGAAATGTTTGACATCTGGCTAAATAAGACATTAGAAACAAGCCAATTGTTCTATCAGAAGAATAAAACCAGAACAGACACCGTGATCTGATAATGATCTGAGACCAGGCCAATAGAGCGCCTTTCCTAACAATGAAGTATCTATGCTAATGAGATAAGCCTGCGCATTTTGAATTAAAGATCTTACTTTCAAAGTATTAGTGTAATCTTAAGATTGGACCAATGTGTTTTAGTAGGGAAAAAAAACAGAGGACGACAAAGGTCCAAGAAATTCATACATTTCAAAGTTTACAAAAAAGTTAATTTTGTGACGATACAAACTAAAAAGTTGAAATAATGCAAATGCGATTCTAATTCCAAATGATGACATAAAGCAAAAAGTCATCACAGATGGTTCTGTAAAATATCCTTTAAAAGTATGACAAAAAGCACGGGGACATCTAAAAAGTACTAATATTGTTGCAATGTCTCATCT